TACCCTGGGCTCTCCTACCCTCGTCCTCTGAAACTACACTGTAGTCGCCCACATCCACCAGCCCTAAAGAAGGGCCCTTCTTATAAACACAGTGTGTAGGTGCCATCAAATTGGCTCTGACTCATAGCGACCGTGTGTACAACAGAACGAAACACTGCCCAGTCTTACATCATCCTTACAATCGGCCCTATGTTTGAACCTGTTGTTGTAGCCACTCTGTCAATCCATCTCATTGGGGGTCTTCCTCTTTTTTGCTGACCATCCACTTTACCTGCTTCCATAAAGATTACAGCCTAAAATTACCAAGCATGATGTCTTTCTCCAGGGATTGGTCCCTCATCCTCTTAACATGTTAGTAAGAGGGACTGGTCCCTTCCGATAACATGTTCAAAAACCATGTACTGATCTGTATTCAGTACTAAAATTTGTTGTTGTTGTTTTAATTCAAAGTGTTGTTCTAATTCAAAGTGATCCCATGGGATAGAGAAGAACCACCCCATAGTGTGTTCTAGGCTGTAATCTTTATGGAAGCAGATCTCCGGTTTTTTTTTTTTTTTTCCTTTAGAACCATAGGTTGGTTTGAACCCTTTAGTTGCCACTTAGTGCTTAACCCTCTGTACTACCAGGGCTCCTTAAAATTTCCCTAGAAAGGCCTATTTACATCCTAACTTGCCCAGTTGGACTAAAAATCCTTGAAGGGAATAGGAAATTGAGCAGGCAGCCAAGGGGATCTTGATCTTGATCTTTGTACACTAATTCCAGGGAATAGGTAGAATTCAATATTGGTAAATTTCGGTAACTTCTAGTGTGGTGGTTTCAAATCTCCAAAGCACCTTTGAAAAAGTGCAACTACCTGAACTTCACCCCCTTTTGATTCTGTAAATCCAAGGCAGATCTTCCAATCAGTTCTACTGAGAATTTGCCTTTGCCTTTCTCTTTCCACCCCAGATATATTGGGAGCCCTGGTAACATGTTTGGCTGTTAACCACAAGGTTAGCAGTTCTAATCGACCAGCTGATCCGAGGGAGCATGTGAAGTTTCTACTCCCGTAAGTAAAGATTTACTGCCTGGGAAACCCTATACACAGGTTGACTATGAGTGGGAACCGACTCCACAGCACACCACAACCACTACCTCAGATAGACTGAATCAGAATTTACATTTTTAATGGGATCTCCATATATAAGAATCACCTGGAGATATTGTTAAACTGTAGATTCTGATTCAGTAAATCTGGTTGGAAAGATAACTTCTCACTAGGGAGTTGAACTAGAATGAACTGGTTCAAAGTCCTGGTCTGAGGTTCTGGGGCGTGACTGTTAAAGTACCTCAGGTGATTCTAATGGACTGCCAAGTTTGAGGTGCCCTGGTGGTATAATGGTGAGAGCACTTGGCTGCCACCTGAAAGGTCAGTGGTTTGAAACACCAGCAGCTTCTTGGGAGAAAAGCCCATTCTGGGCTACAGAGTCACTGAGTCAGAATCCACTCTAGCAGTGGGTTTCATTTTGGTGGGTAATGAGTTTAGCCAGGAGCTAGAAGTTAGGCAGCCTTTGTATGCTGCTAGGCAAATTTTGGCCTCCTGTCTCCATTTTTCCATATCTCCAATGGGAATAATTCTGCTCAGATCTTCAGCATCATCCTTTACTCTCAAAGGATGGAATGCATCTCCACCACCACTCCTCCAGCTCCCCTCGGGAATAAACCTACACCCCTCAGTCCTGCCCTGCATTGAAATCCAGCTGTCCAGCATTCCGGGTTACCTCTTGGAGGGAAGTGTTTGGAAGTGCAATAAGCCAGCACATCAGTTCTCTGTCTTAATGAGATAAGGTGAAGCAGGTGAACCCATCACTGCAGGACTACGAGAATAATCACGTCCTCGCTCCCAGGACACTTGAACTTCCTCCCCACTGTGCCTTGGCAGGAGCTGGGAAATCCCCTACTCTGTCCATCCTACAAAGTTCCCCACCAAGGACCTTCTTCACCCAATGCCCAAACACCCTGCTCTCTCCTCTTTTTAAATTCTATTAGTATTTCTTGTACAAGGGGGCTTCCACTATCTTTTCATTCCATTAAACCCCGTCCTATGTCCCAGTAATGTGGTACCTCTCACACATTGTCTCAACAGTGGGCTCAAACTGTGGCAAAAAACGGGGCACCATTTCATTCTGTTCGGGAGTCAGAGTCGACAGAATGTCAACTAACAACACACATTGCTTCGTATTCAACAAAGACATTCTCTGTTCAATTATATTGTAAGCCCCTTGAGAGCTTTTTATTCCTTTAAGTCCTTCATTCTCTTCTTTCTTGAACAGAGACGGTTCGCAATTGCTTATACAGAGAAGGTTGCTTCACAGGTACTTAATAATCAGAAGAGGAAACACAGGGTTATATATCAGCAAATGTTCTCAAATGATTTGTATTTCAATTCTGGATGCTAGCTGTTTATTTAATCAACTACAATGTAGTACTGTATTTGTGAACTCTTGTGTGGATGCTATAAGAGAAGGCTGCTTTGAAAATGTATAAATCTTGTATCTAGTCTGGAAGAAAAGCATTTCCAAAAGACAAATCCTGGGTAAAGGAGTGGCAAAAAAACAAGGGCTGTTATTTCTTGTTGTTACCTGAACTTGCTTGCCCAGCTCCTAGCTTGATGTGGGTTTGTACATCTCGTAAAGTTATTAGGAGGTCTGGAGTCAGACCACCTGGATTTAAATCCAATGTTTTCTTCTTATTAGAAGTATATCTTTGGGCAAGTAATTTAAATTCTGTATGCCTCAGTTTCTTTGCCTGAATAAAGGTGATAACAGCACCTATACACAGAGTTACTAGGAAGACCAGATGACTTCTTACAAGGAAAGAACCTAGAACAATAGTGGAATAGTAAATTACAATACATGTTGTTGCAATGACTATTGGAGAAACTGCCTAGGGAACCAGATGACCTTGACTTTGTTGTGGTTGTTAAGTACTGCTGAATCTGTTCTGACTCACAGTGACCCTGTATAGGGTTTCCAAGGAGTGGTTGATGAGCTTGAACTGCTGACCTTGCCGTTCAAACTGACTTTGTAGTCCAATGCATTAATCTACAGCGCTACACCCTTATCCTAGCTCTCTCATTTATTTGCTTTGTGATTTTGGACAGAAGACCAAAATCTCTATTTCTTCATGTACAAATTTAAATGCTGACAATTCTCAGAGTAGTAGTGAGGTTCGAATGAGCTAATACATGTGAAAATGCTTTATAAACTGTCTGAATGTAGGGTCACACATGTCATCTCTTTTTGCCTGCAAAAAGGTCCCAGTGACACAGTGGTAAGGTACTTGGATGTCAACCAAAAGACCAGCAGTCGCTGACCCCACTAGGCGCTACTGGAAGATGTGGCAGTCTGCTTTTGTAAAGATGACCGCCTTGGAAACCCTATGGGGCAGTTCAATTCTGTCCTATAGGGCCCCTATGAATTGGAATCGATTCAATGGGCTTGGTGTGGGCTTGGTATAGCTGCACATCACATTCTGCTCCATGTTAGGATTATCTCTTGTTACTGCCTCTTCATATCACCACAATGTTTAGCTTAATGGCTGGATGTAGTATGTACTCTTCCAAGTGGGAACTTGGAAGAGCAGCAATATTCTTATATGCTTTTCCTGCATGTGTTCCATTAGCTTCTTTCCCACTGGACCATATGGGTTAGGAATAGCCCTCCCACATCAGCCTATAGCTTCTCAGAGGACACACCCCTAAGCAGCACCTCGAAGAAAGTATCCAGTCACAGGAATAGGGCACCTATCAGCAGACACTCTGCCCTGCAGCCCAGAGACCCTTCCTGAGCTCTGATCCCCTCTGCTCCACCAGCAGCCTGCCAGTCTGCCTGAGGTTTCTGACTTAGTCTCCCTACAATTGTAGAGAGCAAAACAATCAGGTTGGTTGCCCTAGACAATCCAAACTAGGAAAACTGAGAAAGCAAATCTTTGGCATTTTATAAAGCAATAGTGACCATATGGCCTTTTTGTATTTCTTCCCATTTTGAAATCATGACAAGATGGTAACTTTAGGTTTTGTGCCCCTGCTCCCAACATCTATGTCTTTTATGAGTTGGAGGTCCCAGAAGATAGCATTTGCCTAATGGTGTCATGTCATTCTCCAGCTTTAAAATACCTGAAGTCATTGAGTGGTGCAAACGGTTACCATGCTCAGCAGGTAACTAAAAGGTTGGCAATTTCAGTGCTCCCAAAAGTACCTCAGAAGAAAGAGCTGGCAATCAATATTCAAAAGATCACAGCCATTGAAAACCCTATGGAACACGGTTCTCTGACACGTATGAAGTCACCATGAGTTGAAATTGACTCTAAATCAACTGGTTTTAGTTCTCAAAATACCTACTTAGTGTTGTACCTAGAAAAAGCACTGAGTGTGCACCATGCACCTGTTGGTTGGAATTAAAAGGACTAAGAAAAACCAAAATGACTAGACTCATTGGGAGATGAATTGCATAGGTATTCATTGACTGCATGACTAGCTGCATTTTTTTTCGGAACCGCTGGCTGCCTTCACATTTCCTGGTGGAAGTGGGATAGGTCAGCAGACAACCCAGAGTTGCAGCTAACTTTTGCCCACACATTCATTTTTCAGAGCGTTGGCTTAAAATTGAGGTAGATGTGTGTGCATATGTATGTGTGTGTGTGTGTGTGTGTGTGTGTGAGTGCGCACGTGTCTGGAACCCAAGTGCCTTCCGTGATCCCCAGAGTATCTGTTCTGTCTTCAAATGAGCTGATTACAACACAAAGGATGTGGACATTGGAATTTTTCCTGTTTGATGTCACACTGCTACCCTTTAAAAGTCCAAGGGGAAAAAAGGAGGGAATCCAGCCACACTCCTCACTCCAGATATCCACCCACAAGGAAGAAGAGAGGGGAAAGGCCACAGGGGGCAAACAAGCCAGCGGAATCAGGGAGACGGTGTCAGGTTTCAAACTCAGCTCCAGCCATTCAGAGAGCAGTGATGTTGGGGGCCCGCCTCAGGCTCTGGGTCTGCGCCTTGTACAGCATGTATGGTGTGTGCAGGGTCAGAGCCTATCCCAACATCTCCCCGCTGCTTGACTCCAGCTGGGGTGGGCTGACCCACCTGTACACAGCCACCACCAGGAACAGCTACCACCTGCAGATCCACAAGGATGGTCACGTGGACGGCTCACCACATCAGACCATCTATAGTGAGTAGGGGCTTCAGGTGGGGAAGAAGCAATTGGAGATGCTTTGGGGTAGGCCAGGGACTAATCCAGCTTTCTCATTCTTTGACCAGAATCCACTTATTTTGTGTGGTTTATAGCCCTGGGGGAAGGTTTCCCCAACTCCCTAATTAATGGTCACTGGTTTCTCCCAACATACACAGTTTGTGTCCTAACTCAATTCCTCTTCCTCTGTTCTGTAAGTAGGAACCCCTTTCCCTCTGTTCTGTCCAAGCAGCCAGAGTGTACAGAAAGGCAGGTAAGGAGGCTGAGAGGAAAAAAAGCTAGAAAGAGCAGTAGACACTGGACTTAAACTCATAAACCTTGGACTGAGTTAGCTAGGGAGGTTGTAAAGGAGATTCCTGTACCAGACCAAAAATTAGGATAGATGAACTTGGGCTTTTGCCTAGTTTAGTATTTTGGCTTTATGAAAGGCTCTCAAGAAAAAGGTATTGAAGGCAGATTGTTCAGATGTGTTGTATCGGAGAGTCTAACCTGGGTCAGGCTGTCCTTTGAAAATTCATACATGCACAACCTATCTATCTATCCAAGCACCCATCCATCCATTCTCCAGGTTTTATTTGGTAGTGCCCAGTTTGGTGTGAGTTGGTGATTCTTCTCTATGGAGATGAAACTATCTCATAAGTAGCAAGTTGAGCTAGCTGAGAACTCACTGACAGTCCACTAAGTGGAATCTATAGTTTATAAAGATTCTCAGTTCTGACTTATGGTGATCACATGTATGTCAGAGTAGAACTGTACTTCGTGGGGGTTTTCAGTGTTTTAAAGATGCAAACTAGAATATTTAGAGCAGGGGTGGGGAATGTCTGAGCTTCAGTCCATATGAGGTTCACTAAATCATTTGGTCTGGCCCTGCCAAGGCAACCGCATGCAGTTCCAGCCATCACATTAGAGGTAAGTTAACTAAATATTTGACCAAATATAGCAGGCTAAGTTTTAATTTGATAATTTTGTACGACCGGGAATGTTATAAATTTTAGCAGAAAAAAGGTTCCCTGCCTTTGATTTGGAATCCTGGTACGGCACTGCAGGTTAATACGCTGGGCTGCTAGGTCAGTTTGAACAGCAAGCTCACCAGCAGTATCTCAGAAACCCTATATAGGGTGGTTATGAGTTGGAACTGACTCGATGCACTTACAACAAATACCACAGGGGTTTCAATGGCTGTTTTTTCAGAAGCAGATGACCAGAACTTTTTTTCAAGGAGCCTCTAACATTTAGTTAGCAATAGAGCACATTAACTGTTTGTACCACTCAGTTGTTGTGTGCTGTTGCGTCAGTTCTGACTCATAACAGTCCCTCTATAGAGTTTCCAAGGAGCAACTGGTGGGTTTGAACCACCAACTTTGCGGTTAGCAGTGCAGTGCTTACCCTACAGCGACACATCAGGACTCCACCTGGAGATGACTTTTAAAGATTGTTTATGGAAAATTGGTTCACAATCCTCAATAGTCAATCATCTGTCACGCAAGAAATTCATATAAGGTTGGTAGATGGCACCAGAGTAAAAACTTTGGCTGTTAACTGGAAGGTCATCTGAACCCACCAGCTGCTTCCCAGAAAAAATATGTAGTAGTCTGTGTCCATAAAGATTAAGCCTTGCAAACCCTAAAAAGCAGTTGTACCCTCTCCTATGGGGTCACTGTGAGTAAAAATCGACTTCATGGCAATGAATTTGATGCTTACACAGGGATGGAGGAGAGATGGATATTGAAAAATATAGCATCTTTTCTTTTAGAAAAGTATATAAAACTTGAGAGCACAGTAGTTCTGTAGGATAAGCACTGGTCTGTGAACCACAAAGTCAGCAGTTCAAGCCCACCATTTGCTCTGCCAGAAAAAGATGAGGCTTTCTGCTCCCACAAAGATATAGCCTAGAATACCCTATACCGGGTTGCTATGAGTCAGAACCAACTCAACAGCACTTAGCAACAACAAGAAATGTAAACATTATTCTACGAATACAGAAAATTACAAACTGATTTAATATGTTGCTGTTGTTATTAAGTGCCGTCAAGTCGGTTCCGACCCATAGTGACGCTGTAAGATTTTCCTGGGAGCAGCTGGTGAACTTGAACTGCCAACCTTGCAGTTTAAATGACTGTAGTCTGGCACATTAACCCACAGCACCAAATAGATCAAACTCAGTAATCACAGACTCTGTTTAATGAAATAAAACTCCTTTTAGGAATTATGATTCATTCTTTATTATTGTAGTAAATAATAATATATATGCATTTTAACATACATATATATGTATATATATATACTGCTGTTGCCTTGCTATATGCAAGAAATGCATGGTGCTAGGAATCTAGAATCCTTAAATCTGCATACAATATATGTACATACTAGGAAATGGGGGATAGAGTGGGTGGGGAGGGAGAAAGGGGTCTCTCTGAATACTAAACAGGTTCCAGAGCTCAAGGGAATGTTGTAGAATGAACATCTTGGGAGCCAATGTTTAAGTCTGCTGGCAAAAGTCAGAAATCAATCTGGATGCACTGATAGGTCCAAAGTGCTATTCATTTTCTTCAGCTGATATTTAACAGGACGCCTGGTGTGGCATTGTAGAATCAGCACTGGACTGCAAACCACAAGGTGGGCAGTTCAAACCCACCAGCTGCTCCTTGGAAACCCTATACAGGATCACCATTAGTGAGAACTGACTCAATGGCACATAAACAACAACAACAATGGTACTGTAGGATCAGCACTGGACTGTGAACCACAAGGTCAGCAGTTCAAACCCACCAGGTGCTCCTCAGAAACTCTATATGGGGTCACTATGAGTTGGAACCAACTCGAAGGCATTTAACAACAACAACAACATAATATGCTTGAGAACACCCTGGTGGTGAAATGAGTTTAACACTGGTCTGCTACCACAAGGTCGGTTGGTTCAAACCCACCAGTCATTCCACAGGATAAAAATGAAAATGTCTACTTCCACAAAGATCTATCGTCTCGTAATCCCTGAGGTAGAGTTATACACTGTCCTGTAGATTTACTATGAGCCAACATCTACTCAGTAACAGTGGGTACAGGTAATGGAACGTCATCCTTACTTCCACTACAAAACTCTGTGTGGTCCACAATTCTAGACAGCTGTTGGTTTTGTTAATTTCCGTCAAGTCGGTTCCAACTCACAGTGACCCAGTATAGGTTTCCAAGGAGTGACTGGTGGGTTTCAACCTCCAACCTTGGGGTTAGCAGACTAGTGTGTAGCCTTCAGGGATACACCAGGACTTCTGTCTAGTTACTGCCTGATAACACTCCTCACAGACATTTGTATTGAACCTACATGGGGTAGTGGAGGAGCCCTGGGCTTTAAATCAGGCAACTCCACTGGTTAGGCACCAACTTTAGGAGGCATTTACAAACTCTCTAAGCTATATCTGTAGGTGAGGGATTTAGAATCCCTGCTATGATCCAATAAGATGCACGCAGAAATTCTAGTTATTACCAGTAGGGGTCCTCTGATAGCCTCAAATACCTAAACAATTTTAACAGAAAAGTTCAGGTAACTGAACAACAGCACTTGGGGCTGACATCTTGCTGAATTACCTTTCAAATTATCCCATTATGACCTAACTGTACCCTTACCACAAAACAGAGAGTTAAATAACTTGAGTTATTTAACTAGGTATTGATAAAATGCAAGCCACACTTAAAACGTAAGTATTTAAGGTCTCTGGTGACTCAAAGGAGCCCTAGTATCACCATGGTTAAGCACTCAGCCACTGACCAAAAGGCTATTAGTTCGAACCACATGAGAAAATATGGGGTGATCTATTTCATAAAGATTACAGTATTGGACGCCTTATGGGAACAGGTTTACTCTGTCCCACTCTGTGAGTCAGAATCAGTTCAGTGACAGCAGGTATGGGGTGGGGCATACAGTTTGCGTTGAATACGGTTGGACTTAGCTCGCAGCTTCCCTCACTTCTGCCTATCGGTGACCAATGTGGTCACCAGTTAGAGCACATGTCAGCTCGTGTATTCCCATTGAGTCTTAGTCTTCGAAGGGGACCCGACCGCTTGCCTTGATGTCCCCAAGGTAGCAACTTGCTTGTCAAACTGACATCTTTGCTCTTGAGTCAATATACCTATAATGCTAAAATTCTATGCTCATTGAACATTCTAGTGTACTCTGTACAATGTTTTCATTTACTCTGTAAACATTTTAATGATGCACTCTGGAGTCTTGGTGTGGCTCTGTAGGATAAGCACTGGAATGCAAAGTCAGTTTGAATCGCAAGGTCGGCGGTTCAAACCCAATAGTCATTCCTTGGAAGCCCTATACAGGGTTACTATGAATCAGAACTGACTCGACGGTCCTTAACAACAAACAATAGTGTGCTCTGGTCAGAGCTATCATTATCACCCAATTACATGACACTCTGAATCATGTGACTTCGTCTGTGTGCACTATAATGTGCATTCTTGTTTTTGTAACTGCCTATGCTTTAATAGTTCCTGATTTTGTCAAATTTTGTGGTGTTTTAGCTACAATAAAGGACACCTGGTGGCACAATGATTAAGAGTTTGACTGCTAAGTGAAAGGTCAGCAGTTCAAACCCACCAGCCACTCCACAGGAAAAGGCATGGCTGTGTGCTTCAGAAAAGACTTATAGCCTTGAAACCCCGATGGGGCAGTTCTACTCTTATTATAGGGTCGCTATGAGTCAGAACTGACTAGATGAGAATGAGCTTGGGGGGATTTGGCTAGCTACAGTATTGTGACAATTAGTATTTGTGAGCTTTTATGAATATTACTTTTATTATATCAATCAATATTATCTATTAATTATATTATTTATTAGCATATTAAATAATATAATTAATTATATAATAATATTAATAACTTAAAAATAATAAAGTGGTAATTAAAGAAAAAGGAGAGAAATTGTAGAAGGCTTCAGCTTGCTACTAATAGCATTGTAACTAATAATGTAATTCCGTGTAGAAAGATTTTATAAAACAATTTTGCTGCTAATATTCATATAGTCTAAGAAATAATACATTTAAACAATTGATAAGTTTATTTAACACATATTATTCGGACATTAAAATTGATTTTAAAAAGAATTACTAAGGACTCTGTATAGTCTGTTACAGGAAGAGCTCCATCGTGGGGAATGAATGGTGGGTGGGTGACACCAACCGTAGTGATGCTACTGGCCAGGAGCTCAGAAAGCTCCATTCAGACAAGGAGATGAAACAGGCAAACACAGCAAGTCACAGGAAATGTACACATAAGTACAAGGGGAGCAATCTGTATCATCATCAGTACTCATTAATACCAGGAGATTTCATGAAGGTAGACCTCAAGAAGTGCTTGAAGGTGAGAATTAATTGGATGTGAAACAAGTGTTTGACAAGTATGCTTTCTCCCCAGGTGCCCTGATGATTAGATCAGAGGATTCTGGCTTTGTAGTGATCACAGGAGTGATGAGTAGGCGATACCTCTGTATGGACTTCAGAGGCAACATTTTTGGATTGGTGAGTCTGTATTTGTGTGTGTGCCAGTCAAACAAAATACCAAATTGCTTTGACAGAATATAGGCTTTTATAGCATAATGAGTCCATTTGTACTTTAGTGATCTGTTTTTATTGAGTACTTTATTCGGTGTAAGTCTCAAATACTCAGGTGGTTTCAACCCATGCTCTCAATTTCCCTCCTGTGTTGGCTGTTGGTGTTCGTTTTTGTATCTATCACTGTATTTTGTATGCAGTAGTTGATCTCCGATTCACTGCATTCATGTTGTTGAGTAGTTTGTTGTTGTATTCTGTTGAGTCAGTTCCAACTCATAGCGACCCTATATAGGGTTTCTGAGAGCAGCTGGAGGGTATGAACTCCTGAGGTTGCCGTTACCAGTCTGGAGCTTATCATAATAGTGCCACACGAGGTACATTAGACAAGTTGAAGAGCCACGGGCATCTTCTTGATTCTATTTCTAACCATGACCTTCATTCCACTTCCCTAACCCCTCTCTTCTTTCAACTTCAATTGCTCTACCTTGAAAAATTACAATGAGATGGCCCATGTGACCTGTGGAGGCCCGTCTAGTTTAAAGATCTCTAATGATCTCTGTCTCAATTGGGATTAACTAGCCATTCAGTTTATAAATAAACAAATTTCTCAAACTAATGTTGCAGGTAACTTCCAAAGGATCTGGGTTAGGGAATTTGTAGGACTGCTTATCTCAGGAGTCTCTGACCACCAGGCATTCCTACCAGAAATTCCATGGGAGCAAGAATCTTTTGGTTTTCTCAGTGCTGTGTCCCTACAATTTATCTGGCTCAGAATAATCCCTTAATCAATATCTGCTGAACAAATACAGAAACATATAATCCTCATTTAAAAGTACATCAAAGATTGTGAAGATTTAATGCAATAATAAATGAGTCTTAGCTATCTAGCACTACTATAACAGAAAATCAAAAGAGACTTTAACAAACAAACCTTTATATTTTCTGACCGTTTAGGAAGTTAGAAGTCTGAATTCAGCATGTTGACTAGGAGAAGGCTTACTCTGTTGGCTCTTCCTGAATCTCTTTTATGTTTTTGCTCCTGGGCAGTCCTCATGTGGCATAGTATCTGTCTTCTCCCACATCACTGCTTGCTTAATTTGTTTCTTTTATACCTCAAAGGAGACTGACTCAAGACACTCCCTATGTTAACACTGACTCATTAACATAGCAAAGAGAATCCTTCCCCAAATGAGATCATGACACAGATATAGGGATTAGGATTTATAACACATATTTTGGGGGTTCACAACTTAATCTGTAAATTAACTAAAGGTCCTAGTAGGTACTTAGTAAAACCAGGTTCCAGTTAGTGGTAGAGTGAAGACTCAAATCCAGGTAATCTGTTTCCAAAGCTAATGTCCCTAGTCCCCAAACTGTACTGTCTTTCTAACGGGAGTACCCGCAATTCTATTTAACCCTTCAGACTGTATTCCATCTCATTTCTCCAGGGAAGGTGACAGCCCCAAGCCAACTTTCAGCCAGATGAGGGTTCCACAAGGTAGAGTGGGAAGAACAGTGTTGTTTCTCTCCAGAAGCATGAGGAATGTGCTGCTCTCTCAGCAAAGCCATGTGCCCCAAGGAAGTGAGCTATATAACCCTAGTGACTGCCACTCCCTGACAGTTAGAGCAGCTATGCTCAGTCCATGAGGAATTTGGAAAGCATTAGCCAAAATCACTTTTCTCCAAGAGGTAGCGTTAAATGGTCAATGTCTGTCGTCAGAAATACTAGGGTAACCAGGATCTAATAGAGCTGTGGAGTCCCTGGGTGAAGTAAACAGTTAAGTTCTCAGCTATTAAAAAAGTTAGAGGTTCAAATCCATCTAGAGGAACCTTGGAAGAAAGGCCTGGTAATCGGTTTAAGAAATGTCATGACCTCTGAAAACCCTATGGAGTACAGTCTTGAAACACATGGCGTCACCATGAGACGGAACTGACTTTGACAACTGGTTTGGGTTTGGGGTTTAATGGAGGTGTTATCTGGAGGCTTGAACCACAATATATGCACACCCTAGGGCTTCAGGAGGAGTTTGGGGTTGGGAGCTCAGACTAACTTGTCTTCCCTGCATCACTTTCGCCCTTTCAGCATTACTTCAACTCGGAGAACTGCAGGTTCAGGCACCGGACGCTGGAAAACGGGCATGATGTCTACCAATCTCCTCAGCACCATTTCCTGGTCAGTCTGGGGCGAGCCAAGAGGCCCTTCCTGCCAGGCATGAACCCACCACCTTACTCCCAGTTCCTGTCCCGAAGGAATGAGATCCCCCTGATTCACTTTAATACCCCAAAGCCCCGGCGGCACACCCGCAGTGCCGAGGAGGACTCTGAACGGGACCCGCTGAACGTGCTCAAGCCCAGGCCCCGAATGACACCGGCGCCAGCATCCTGCTCCCAGGAGCTCCCAAGTGCCGAAGACAACAGCCTGGTGGCCAGTGACCCTTTAGGAGTGGTCAGAGGCCATAGGGTCAACACACATGCCGCTGGGATGGGCGTGGAAAGGTGCCGCTCCTTCCCCAAATTCATCTAGGGAATCCAGGAAGGAATACTTTTTAACCAGTCCTTCAGCAAACTAAACCATCTTCAAGAGACCACCTCCCTCTACAGTCCAGGGAGCAGGGGAGTAGTGTGTGTGGAATTAGCTTCCTCTCTCCAACCTCCCTAAGAGGTCCCCTGAGAGTCAACCTTTGATGTCCTAGCAAAGGAGTTTCACTGCCTTCCCCACCCACATATACCACCTTTCTAAGTAAAAAGTCCCAGTAGGTAAACTAGAAATTTCAATTGCATTAAGGGAGAGGGAGAGATGGATTGGGTTTTTTGTTTGTTTTTAGCATATTTATCTTCCCTATGCCTCTCAACTATTGTTAAGTGACCTTGAGTCAGGTCATTCAGCGACCCAGAGTAGGGTTTCCTAGGAGTGGTTTGAACCCGACCTTGCAGTTAGCAGTCAGTGTTTATCTTATAGTAACACAGGAGGACTCAATGGCTCTCCACTAGTTTAGCACAAACAAAGCCTAATGAGTTTCTGAGGTGTGGGCAGTATTTGAGTTGACAAACTTTGACCTGGACCCTGGCAGCATTTGAGTTGGCAAACTTTGGCCTAGGACATTAGCATCTGAAGTGAGCAAATGAATAAAAACATTAATTGGAAGCCTTTGTTCTTCCTTGGGCATGTCTGCAGAAGGAAGAGATGATAGGCTGATGATAACTTAAAGGCTTAAACTTAATTAGGACAAAAAGTCATGCTAGAAAAACTCCGCCTCCCAGATGGGTAGGGATCCTTTGTCATGCTCTCCCTCTGTGTGTTTTGCCAGGAAGCTGAAAATGACCCTGCTCCATTCCAAAGTGGCTCACAAAAGTTTCACCTCCTGTTCTCATCTTTACCTTTAGTGAATTTGGCCAGTGGGAAAATTTTAGTATCAGTTCATGAAAGTCTACTCTGCTAATATTTTTCTGAAAAGGAAAAATGTCTCTCCTACATATATATAAAAAGATTTGTTGTCAAGAATATACATACATATACCAAATACTAAAACATTTACCAGTTCAAGTTTCTACATGTACATTTCAGTGACATTCACTGTACTCAAGTTGTCCTATAAGCTCTTTAATGAAGCCTATAATTCCAGATTGAGTAACAATCCATTCTGAATAAATCACACAAAAATATTACTGCTATGGGGTAGGAGATTTGAAACAATGGTTTTCTCTAGACTGTCCTTTTTTCTAAATGAAGTAGCATCAAGGGCTCAGGGGAAAGATGTCTAATGCCAAAGTGGTGTTGTTGAGAAGTGCCGTTGAGTCAGTTCTGACCCATTGTGACACTGTATAAGCTTTCTGAGGAGAGACTGGTGAGCTTGAACCGCTAACCCATTATGGTTCAAAGCGACTTTGCAGTCCAGCTCATTAACCCACAGCACCACTCCAATGCCAAAGTGTAGGAGTTCAGAAAGACAAGACTATTAGCACTCTCTAGTACTCTACAGCTGTGGCTATGGAATTAGTGGAAAGGCTCCTGGGCTCTCCATTCACTTGGAAATTCTTGGGACCTTAATGAACCCAGCTGGTGTGGCACTGTAGGATAAGTGTAGGACTGCAAGGTCTCCCTCCAAAATCCTATACTGGGTCACCGAGTCAGAATTGACTCAACAGCACTTAACACCAACCAACCAGCAGAGGAACACCAGATGGGTGGGACTGATGCTCAGACCTCATACCAGCCTTACTCCATGAATATTCCTGCAAGGGAACCCCAGTTTCCTACCTCTATTTAAATGAACACCTAAAGAGATGTTCATTTGAAAAGTAGGTTTAAATAACGGTTTACTCCAAGTCACTTTTTTTTTTTTTTGTCTTCACTGCCATCATGGACCAAGCCTTAGAAATGGACTCATTCTTATTTACTTAACAGAGATACATTGGACAATTTTTCCCTGATAGTTTAGCATTAAAACAATATATAATACCATATATCAGTGCATCTGGCAAATGTTGTCTTTATACCTTCCATTACCCATTGGAGATGTTAGACTATGCGATAACTATTGGAAACCCTGCAATCCTAATAAGTAGATGGAAAAATCTCAAAAGGATTTTGGTAGAAAACCAGTAGTATTCTCACAAACAGCATCTTCACTGACGTTCTTTGGCAAGCCAAGGTTTTGTTGTCGTTATTAAGTATCTTGGCAATATTTATTTATTTATTTGGAAGATTTTGCTTACACTCTATAAAACTGTAACCTCACCTTTTTCCTTTCTTCTATGTAAAAGAAAAGTAAAATTCATCTCAGCTTCTGTCTGTGTCTCCTTTCTGCATTACTACATAAAATGTTAGCATACACACAGGCTAGATGGGTATGGGAGGGAGGGAGGGTGGGAATATGCCCGCACATATACACAGGTTTAGCAGGTATTTGTACACGGGTCTTTACTTTTGCTGCAAACTTATCCATACATGTAGTGGTATATACAGGGAACAAAGTTATGAAAACTTCTTAGACATTACCAAATAACTTGAGGGAATGAGTTATTACACCTGCGGCTCAGAACCATAGTCTCAAGGGACACCATGGTCAGTTGGCATAACATATTCACAAAGACAATGTTCTCATTCACTTTGATAAGTAGCACCTGGGATCTTAAAGCTCATACGGCCATCTCAGGTGCAACTATGGTCTCTCCCGATTTAGAGGACGGCAGAGTGATGAAAATTGAAGACACATTGAAACAATTAGTCCAATAAATTAATGGTCCATGTGAGCATCAGTCTCCACAACCCTGAGATCAGAAGTAGATGCCTGGCTACCACTACCACCAGTTCTGAAAGAGATCATACTAGAACGTCTTGGATAGAGTAAAAGCAAAAAACTGAGAATCATAAAAAAGACCAGGTTCCCTGGTCAGATAGACTGTGGAACCCTGAGACTATGACCCTTAGTCTCAACTCAGGTTTGTCACTGAACTCACCCTATGGCTCAATTTTTAGCCAAGCAATAGATAGGTACATAGGGGAACAACACTAGTGGCATATGCACTCCATACAATGGTCAACCATTCCAGGACAAGTGGTAGGATTTACCCAAGGACAAAACTCAGAAGGGTTGGTAAAGGAGGAAATATGGAAACAAGAAATACAGAAAGTGGAATGTGCCGTTACATGGAGGGGATTGTAATCATTGAGATGAAACGTGTGATTTGTTGAATGTAAAACTGACCATCTGCTCTGTAACCTTCACTCAATTCACACACACAAAAATTTTTCAAGTCAAAATATGCGAGTGAGAGATTATTTGTTAAGTACCATCGAGTCAATTCTGACTCACAGCAACCCTGTGTAGGGTCCATGAAGAGTAACTGGTGAGTTTGAACTGCTAACCTTGAAGTTCAAACCTACCTGATGGTCCAGTGCTTATCCTGCAATGTAACACAAGGACTCCAAAAAATAGAGGAGAGCATTAAGAAAATGCAAAGAAAGCACATTTGAAAGTTATGAGAATTCTACAATATTGTTTTCTTTCCATTCATAATACAGACTCTAGATAACAATTTTGATTAATCCAGACAGAATAAAACAAAAGAAACTCTTATCAATAATTAATATCTGATCACTCTAGTTCTAACATGTTTCCTTTAAAACAGAGAAAAAATTTTTAAATAGACCCATCATCATCTCAGTAAAGCAGAAGCGATGCACTCAGCATGTATGCAGTGTTATTGCTGTGTGGACTTGATAGCAGGACAGCAAGATAACAAACCTTGACGCCATCTCTTCATGAGATTTGCATCCCTAAAGGTCCTTCTTTAACCTCCATTTGACCAGGTTTCCAAACACACAGGAAGCAATGATGCCGTTGCAAATTTACAACTTTCTATATTTAAATTCACATTAGCTCAAGCCAGTTGTCAGTGTTCCATTATCTGACTTGAGCCATCATCCTCTCCCTTTTAGTAATTAATGTAAAAAAAAAAAAAACTTAGTGTTCACTGTTTGACATGTGTCCAAATTACCTTCTGACAAGGTCTACAAAGTGAACTTTCAGTTGATAATGCCCCTTGTAAGAGAGTTTGAGCACCAGAGTCCTCCATACTGGTCAGCAACAAAATGATGGAGGCAGAAGACACTAAGAGCAATGCAAGAGTTAAAGACAACAAGAACAAGTATGGGCCTGATCTGCTCATGGCGACAACCCACAGAGCTAGTGCCATACTGCGCAGCAAGAAGCCCGTGCTGGTGAAAAGGAAGCAGAGCTTCCCCACCAAGAACTCCTGACAGAAAAATAAAGACCACGCTCTTCACCACCACCACCAACAACAACAACAAAAAAGAGTTCAACAGAGGTAAAAACCATTATATATACCATTAAGGGTGACCTATGAGTAGATGCAAGGGTACAATGCAGGCTTTATGGGAGTACTTTTACAAATATACCCAAACAAAGTTCAGAAGGGTTAGGAAAACAAGAGGAACTAGAGAGAACAAACAAGATGGTGGATCGGGTGGAAGTCCAGTAAAGAGCTCCATCAGGTCAGCAACAACACAGAATACAGTCCCAAGCAGGCTCAGGGATGGTCCCAGAACTCTGGACCACATATAAAAGAATATTTAGAAGATTGGAAGGCTTACAGCTAGGAGAATTTGTAGCAGAAGAAATCCATTGCTTTCTAATTCAAGACGCTCAGCTGCTCCAGGAGACACGATCTGGGTGAGACCAAGCAGGGGAAGGATCAAAGCAGCCACAGACGCCTGACAGAACCGCGGAGATAAAGGTGTAGACAGTCTTTCCTTTTGGTATCTGTTAATTGGTCACTTTCTGTCTGCGCACCTCCATTCTGGTGACTATCGGGATGCCTGAGCTAGTGGACACCCCAGCCCCACCCTCGGAGGGTTCTACTACGCATGTGCACAGATCTCCTCGAAATTTAAAGAGACAGTTTCCATTTAAAACCAAATGGCCACAGCCGGCCCTGAACTGTTTAGAAGTAGAAAAAAGCCTGAACGGGGATTGTGGAGCGGGATAGGCAGACAAAA